CCCCCCCCAAGCGGTTTCTGCAGCTGAAGATAATTTTCAAGGCGAAAATGGTGAGAAATTCAGCCAGCAGAATGGTCCTTGGTATACTTACGAGATTAACAAGTAAGTAGTTTGAAGCGATTATGAATATTTTAATAGGAGCTTAATTATACTTTCAAACAGTTCGATTTCTAAATTTTCGGATATTGAATAATTCCCCGTTTCTTCCTTTTATTCCCGAGGCTCCACATTTAATTCTATGCGCACCTCGGGGTCATCTTTTCTGCAGGACCACAACTTTCTCTTGATGCAACGATACAATCGCCGTGAAAAATGTTGCCTCTATCCTCCAGCGGACCTTTCGAGGGGAAAAACATTTTTTCCAAGCAAACGAAGGGAAAGTAATATTCCTTTCATTATCGTAATCACGCCACTCATCGTATTCGTGACTGAATCCCACGAAATGAATTTTATCTGTTTTCGCGTCCTATCCACTTCAAATACCTCAACATCATACAAATCCCTGTCTGTTTTGCGTTTTCGTTCCACTTTCTTTATCTTTTTTCGCGGAGCTGATAGAATTCTTCCACAAAACGCCGTGGAGGACATGACATTCGCTTCGGACGATAGCCCATGTTTATTTGTGAGGGCAAATACAATACCTTTGAGCACGCGCTGTAGCATACACTGCATGTAATGATCACTGAAGAGCAAATGTCCTCATTTGTGGGCAATGAGTTTGATATGCAGTTGCTTTTATTCTGAACTGTTAATAAAATGGAATGTTCTAGTTCTTTTCTTTCCATTTTATTCACCAGATATTGTCGATATTGTTACTTAACCATCGGACGTACAGGAGGGGTGGGGGGTGGATGCCACCCCCCATAAGGTTTTTCTGAGTTTTTTTTCCTAGTGGATAACACAGTGGCACCCGACCAGTTTTCAGTAGCTGTTCCTTCATCCCTCCCGCACATTTTGAGACAAGTTCAGTGATGAGCAGTTGTTATAGTTACGAGATATGTCATAAGTAGCAGGTGGTGAAGCCATTTTTTAGTGAAAGTACATGTTTATAGGCGCACGGGCCGGGGGGCGAGGGGGGCTGCAGCCCCCCCAAATTTTGGGCAACTCAGATTTTTTGGGCAGCGAGAGAAAATTTGGGCAAAGCCAGTTTTTAAAGACGTCTCCATTTTATTTAATTATTTTAAAGACCTGAATATTAACCTGAAGTCGGCGTAATAATCCAGTTACATTACAGTGGTTGCTTAGCATGTGATGAGTAATTTACATATTTGCAGTTTTTTTTGGTTGGGCACTATACTGCACTGCACTAGCTGGAATGGGCTATTTCCAGTCGAGAATTGATTAAAATAAACTTTCGCACAACTTTCTAGAATCATCTCCACTCGACGAAGAGTGTATGGCAGATAGCATTTAGCAATGGGTATTGCCTGCATAGCAAGCGTTTCCGCGCGAGTTCGACTGGAAACGCTAGCTACGCAGGCTACAATGGGTATGAAAATGAAGAAGTGGCTGACTAATTCTCAGTTTGAATTACGAGAAGAATCTTAATTCGTTAAAAAATCTATCGAGCGGTTTAAAATAATTCGCTAATTTGTTAAAGTAGACCGAAATGTTTACAAAACCGCTAACAAGAATGTCTCGATACATACTAATCAAATCCTTCTTTAATTAAGCAGAGCTATCTCCACGATCTTTCACACATGTTTTTAAAAATATTAAAACTTCTATGAGGTGAAATTGCAGGTCAAAAGCGCTTCGTTTTCTACAGATAGTGGCCAAAAATCAAGATTTTCCTTTTCTTACCATATTTCTAATAATAAAAACTTCATTGCAAAATACCTCGATAACGCACTTAAGGTTTTGCTTAAACTTCACGAACATCCAGGCGACCGTTTCGGAGAAAAAAGCTCCTGTGAACGATTTTGTAAGGTTCCCGTCCCGAGAATCATTGCTGAAGTAAAATAGGTAATGGAGTCATTTCGTTGCTATGACAACTCCGATGTCATTGCGACCCTAATGATGACAAATTTTCATCTTAATACAACTGTGGTCGCAATTTTTCCAAATGTTTGTTTATGGCGACGTAGTTTATGCTCAGACTTGGTATGACCCTGAAAAACTGTGTCGAGCCACCTTCATATGCCAGGACGGCCTATGTTGTTGCAATATGGCCCTCATTTCTTTTCGACTCTTTCGTAAAAATTTGGGCAACTTGCGAGATGTTTTTGGGCAAATTGTTTACCGCCCCCCCTGGCAAAAAATTTCCCGTACGCCTGTGTACATGTTTTGTCAACTTTTTCAACAATAAAAGTAACTGTTGTGGCTAAAATCATGCAAAGTGCTTATTTATTTGTTATTTTTCATGTAAAGCACAAAAATTTACCATTTCTCGCGGTTTTAACCTGCTTTCTAATTCTTGGTAAAATCCAAGATGGCGACAATTGTTGGTGACGTCATAGACCTCCAGCAGCGCCACCACCCATAAAATATACGATCACATCTAGTTAAGAAGATCAAAGGCTTTTCTTCAAAGGTAAAATCGTTTCGAAATACTGCAACATATCAAAAACTCCGGAGTCCCCCCCCCCCTTGTACCACGGTGGGGGTATGACTTGGCGTGTACGTCCGAGGGTTATTTGAAAATATCACGTTTGGTTTAGGATTATTTGTCAAAAGGTAGGTTTATGTTTTTGTGAGAGCTTTCCTTTGTAGTTATTTGGGGATCAGTTACAAAAATTTCTTAATTTTACTTGATCTGAGTATGAATGGACGAGGATGTTGTCGGCCATTTTTTATACACCCTGAAAACGATGAGCTGAATGATTCTTTTTAAGGGCTGTCTCAAATCAGGGGACCCAACGACGTTTTTCGGGGAAGCAAATATTCCCTAGAATTTTCTGGTACTTAAGTAATATAATTGAAGCCCTAGTAATTTCGAAAAGACTTAAGTTCTCCTCGAATGACCGAACAAGTACAAATTCATTTATAGCTTCGCTTGAAGTACATTTTTGTAGAGACCAAAAAGCCTAAAAAGTGTTTTCAACGTCTTTAGAAGGATGCCATCGTTGGGTGCCCTAGCGCCTGTCAAATTAACTTCTTGTTCATACACAGTAATGATTAACGCCAACAGCATACCTGCGTCCTTTTGGAACTTTGGTTTGGGGCAGGGTAATCATATGGAAAATGGTGCTTACCTCTGGAAAACTCAAGTCTACCATCTTAGACATATCTTACAGCAACTCGGAGGAGAAACGTTTCGCTTTGTCGACCGCGAGCACAACTGCCTTAAACTGCTGTGAATCAATCTGTTTACAGATTTGTTTTGAACCTGATTTAACACAACATACCTCAGTTCATGAGATAACAGGCAAAAGGTCACCTTTTTTTCATCACCTGTTCTCAAAGAGAAACTCTCTACTTAAGCCTAGTCGCTATTTGACCCACTGTGTCACAATTATAGACATTATACTGCGTGGGCATCAGTGTAGCATCCTATTAACTTGGCCAATGTCAAGCAAATAGTTTAATGCCTGTAGTGCAAGAACGGACAGGGTATTACACGTATTCTCTCCGAAAGTGAATGCTTAATTTAGGCTTTATTAGTGGTTTTTAAGTAGCAGTTTTAGACTTAGAAAGTTGGCCATGTAATATCACATTTTAATACAATTAGCATGCACCACGAAATACTCCGCTATTAAAAGCTCAGTAAGCTCAGTCAGTCTTTAAAGGACGGATCATTCATCAAATATTGTCAACAATAGGAATTGGCCCTTGCGACTTTCCTAGATCACATAATAGGATATTTCAAATAAGGCTATNTTCTTGTTCATACACAGTAATGATTAACGCCAACAGCATACCTGCGTCCTTTTGGAACTTTGGTTTGGGGCAGGGTAATCATATGGAAAATGGTGCTTACCTCTGGAAAACTCAAGTCTACCATCTTAGACATATCTTACAGCAACTCGGAGGAGAAACGTTTCGCTTTGTCGACCGCGAGCACAACTGCCTTAAACTGCTGTGAATCAATCTGTTTATAGATTTGTTTTGA